TGTGAGATATATATATATATATATATATATATATATATGGAAAAATCCGAAACAGTTCAGTTTTTACAATCGAACAGGCGATACATCTTCGCTTATTTCCCCCCATTGGACTGCAAATAACGAATTCTTTCTATTCGCTAATTGTTGGCAAGTAAGAAAAGTAGTACTCGGATGAAACAATTCAGGATTATTAAAAAGACACAGCATGAAGTAATCGGTGGAATCAACAAATGTCTAGTGTTATGTTATTCCATCAAATGTAACTTTCTGAAGCCCAAAAAGCTGTTTCCGAGCTCGATGAGATAGAATCAGCCACAGTTGTCAAAAATTCTATCTCCGTAAATGTCTGAAGTTCTGCAACATTCAACACTTCAGATGTCGTTTCCGTTAGCGTCTCAAATGTAATTCCAAGCGGTATATCGGATGTTGTCGCCTCCAGCGTTTGAAATGTCACTCTATCCATTGTCTGATATGTCATCTTTTCTCCTGTGATGAATAAGGTGCTCATTGTAACGGTTTAACCTCAATATTTCTAATCGACCATCATATAATTCTTTCTCTATGTATTTATCAATGTACAATCCGTATAACTTCAAAAGTACAAATTCTTTGTTCAATACCATTAGAGTCAATCGATGGGATAAGTTCTGTTTGCAATCTTGACAGTACTTCGACACTTACCCACCACTTTCTAACATTCCCAGCGGAGTCCTCTAGCCTAACGCGAGTTAGGCTAAGAGTTACCGACAATCCAAATGGACCATTTTATCCTAACACAATTACCTGCACCATTCATTTCAATGCAATAAAAGTACTCTGTTACTATCGAGAATCAGCTCCTGCGACATATATCACAGACTTTCACTGATCACTTCAAACAATTTGAGATAATATCGGGACTTTGTGTTATCTTTGAATTCAACGCTAAAAGCCTTTTACATTTATTGCAGATCAAAGAACAAACGCTCATTATTTTTTATCGACACTTTGTTGCAATACAAATTTAACCTTTTACTCTAAACTATCGGGGCGAAGCGTATGATTTATTAAAAATCAGAGTGGTATCTTTTAGCAAGAATGAATACAATTGAAATAGAATGGCTTCTTAATTTCTTCTCAAGAAATGGATGGTTTTAATTGAGCGATAAGTTCAATTTGTATTTGATTTCTATTGCTTTCTTATTTTCTTGGTCTTTTATAGTTTCCCACTTTTTATGTTTTTTGTTTTTGTCTAGTATCTCAGATTATTCCTAATATAGTTTAGCTTCTGATTCTCTAATTTATTATTTTTGTCGCCTTGCCCCTACAAGAAATTCTTGTAGTCTTTTTAGGGAATACAATTGTGTGAATTCGTGTTCAGTATCGCAATTCTACAACTAATGAATTTGCTGATTTCCTCTACGTACAATTCCACGAGTAATAATGACAACTATCAGACCGTTTATTAACGGTACGCAAGATCGTCAAAGAGGTGGATGGAAGTCATTCAACAAGACAATGGGAATTACATCTGAATCCAAGAAAAGTAAATCGACTATGAGAATTCGAACAGCAGCTGACCTTATGTTCTTCGTTTATTAAACGATTAGATCTCATCTGATACAGAATATCACTCCAAAGTTCATTTGACGATTACTGAAAAGGTAATAGTTTACTTGCATGAAAGGCTGTCGCCGATTTTCCTCAGTCGTG